CTAGGAATGGCCTCATTAGTTAACATATGTTGCCGCACCCACACCCAATCTCTGTCCCTGTCCGAATCTCAGACTCCGGCTCCGTCTCAGACTCAGACTCCCAGCCAAGTCAGCCACACAAACAACAGCTTGTGCTCATTGCCAAAGTCAATTTTCGGCAAAAAGGGCGGCCAAAACAATTTGTAGCTAAACGGACTGAGCGTAACAGCTCTCCCCCCTCAGCCGTCGTGCCCTTTCCACACGCTCGCCGCGCCGCTTGCTTTATAAAAACTTCAAACAAATGCTAGGCGGGCTGCGTGTCAGAAAAATCTGTTACTCACTTACCAATTGGGGCTGAAACTGTTACAGGATAATGTGTCGACTGCTTACTGCCGGAGCAGTGAGCAGAATAGTGATAGGGGATGGCACGAGAGCAGATGAGAGTCATTTAAACGCTTGATTGGAGTGCATACAGTAGCTAATAGCTGAAGGTCTTTAGAGCTGTCTGCAGCACTGCCGATAGAGCTGGGAAGATAAGCATGCGAATGGCTTTTGATGTTAGTAACTGTCAGTGACTACTACAACTAGAGAAGTTTCTTTTTTTTTTGTGGTATTCAGAAAGGAGATGAATAATAGGTGTGAGTTTTGTATACATATTATTATATATATTATTATATTATATTATTTTATGTAATATAAAAATACATTTTTTTTATATTCTTTTCTCTGCAGAGCAACTAACTAAGTTCTTAGCTCATATGTTAAGTTATTGCTAGCTCACAATTATGCAGAAATGATTTTTATTTAAGCATTATACATACATATTTATATAATATATGTTTAAAGCAATATGTAAAGCAATTACATCAAATTTGCTGCTGCCTTACTCTGATATAGGGAGCAATATATGCTATATGAAAGCAACGTCCGACCACCTTGAGTTCCAATTTAACAATGCCTTTATTCATTAAGTAAGCGCGCCTTAAGCAGAATAAGCTTGTATATGAGAAGAGTGCATAGGCAGATCGAGCATAGGGAGATCGATATTCATTCAACCCAACATCAAATGCTGATCTCACAAAGACTATGTTATATATAGTCACCTCTCTAAGCACACAACCACAACGAATAGCTCAAGTAGCCACTTCAGTAATAGCTATCTCTGTCTCACTCTTGCCGCTATCACAGCTTATGAAGCCAATAGCTATACTCTAACCCACTGACAACTCTTTAAAAACTCTCAGCGGGGCTATGCTGCTGGAATATGCTCTCAGCAGTCAGAGTAAGCATAGGGTCTACTCTACCTACTTTCCTTTATATAGACACATACATATATAGTTCGTATATCCACTCAACTACTAAAATAATCCAACCAATAGCATGCCGCCAACTGTCACAAATCTATAACTAATGCCCCTGAAAATTTAAGCCCCAAATAATATGCATAAATGATTTGTTAAAATGGCCATAAAAACAAACAAACAAAATTGTTGTAATACATTAATAATAAATATGCTAGCCATAACAAGCGCAATATATGTAAACATGCTAAAAACTCATTTATAACTGAATTGCCGCTAATTGCATTCATGTGAGAGCTCCATTGAGCTGTGGTGTATATATGTAATATATATATTTAAGAGGGGATTAAATTTAGTAACTGGTTGCATAGACAAACATTTGTCGACGCTATTTTTAGATATGCACGCCTTGGCCTGCTAAATGCCAGATTAAATGGAAGCCATTAAAAGCCAAAGCAAACATCATAATTTCGAGCTCATTAAACTTGGACTTAGGCGAGGCTTAAATGGAACGCCAAAGGGAGCTGGGAGCAGTTGGAGGTCCAGTCTCAGGTTCATTTTCCAGTCGAATTTTTTGCCCACCCGTAGACGCATACTAAATTGCACGCTTTATAATTAATTTCCATCAAAAACAGACGACGAGCTCAGCGCAGGTCCAGGACGAAGACTCCGTCTATGGCTCTGGCTGTGGCTCCGGCTCTGCCTTCGGTCTGGGCTATAATCATTAATCTTATCGCCGCCTGAGCTTATTATTTCAATTGCTGCGTGGTGGGTGGTGGTTGGGTGGCTGTGGGGTTGGGTGCTGCGACAGACGCTGCAAAATTCAATGACCGGAAGTAAGTGAAACAGCAAACCTCCCAGCCGTATTGAAAACGCAAAGGCAACCAAAACTCGGCACGTGGCCGAGGACGAGACTGACGAAGGCTGAAGGCTGAGAACTGAGAGCTGCGAGCTGCGAGCTGAAAGCTGAAGGCGACGACGGCGTTCGGCGAAAATCTCTGCGGTTAATCGCTTGTTCAACATGTCAGCACTTTCCAGCGCTGTTTGTGCTCCCGTTATTATTGCTGTTGTTGTTGTTGTTGTTGTTGTAGCTGTTGTTTATTTATTTATATGCCTGCCGATTATATCCCTGCGTCCTGAGTGTGGGTCTTATTCCATGCCGTTGACTACAAGTCAATTTAACGCATCAATTTGTGCTAGAGCAAGAAATTTAAACTAATTATGTGTTATGGTCAGTGTGTGTGTGAGTGTGTGAGTGTGAGTGTGTGTGTGTGTGAGTGGACAGCCCTATAAATTGTTGCAAATTTGCTTCGCTCTTTGGGGTTTTGCAATTGAGAGAGCGAGAGCGAGCGAGTGCCTCCCGCTGTGTGTCCCAGACAGCGTCACTGTGCAACTGTAACTGTAACACAACGTAGGTAAACACCCATTGAATAATAACTCAAAAACAGTCGCAAAACTTCGGCAGCGACCAGGGTAGTCGCGGGCAGCCAGGGCTGCCAGGGTGCCAGCAATTTGCTTTGAGTGTTTGCGTCCTACTTGTCTCTCACTGTCCCTGTCAAATGCAGCAATACATAAACACACTCACACACAAACACACACTCACAGAGAGGGAGAGAGAGAGAGATAGAATGGCTTACAGCACTTTTGCTGGACCAACTTTTGGGCACAGTGTGACAAGAGTGCGAAGAATGCGAGAAGAATTAAGAATTAACTTTATGAGATTGCGAACAGTCAATAGTTCAATTCATAAACTAGTTTTTCTTATATAATTCCACTGGCTCAGTCTTCATTATTCAGCTATTCTTTCAGTCAGTTCACAGTTCTCTTATTTACATGATTTACATACTAAGCATTCCAAAAATGAACTGGATCCACTCAATGTCCTTTGTGTGTCCACTCTCTGCTTCCTCTGGCTTCTGCAACCACTGTGCCGCCTCTAATCAATTTGTAGCCGCTTAGCAAATGTCTCTCATTTGCATTTATTATGGATATGCCAGCGTCTGCTGTTGGCATTGCAGTTCAAACTTTTAACCCTAGCCACGCCCACACACACGCCAGCCCCAGCCGGGCACCACCCTGTGGTAGCAACCACAGAAACTTTGCAAGCAACATTTTTGGCCAGAAAAGTTGAAATTTGACCATGAATTTATCTGCGCCTGTGGTCATGAAAACTTTTTAGGGTGCTCAGCTCCCAGCTTCGGCCGAGACAGCTCCACTGCTGTGGCGGACAGGCATCCATCCGTAGTTGGACATATTCAATTTACCCATTTCACTTCCATTTGCAGGTAAAAATTTGGTTTCAAAATCGTCGCATGAAGTGGCGCAACTCCAAGGAGCGCGAGCTGCTGGCCAACGGCGGCTCACGCGACCAGACGCTGCCCAACAAAAACAATCCCAATCCGGATTTGTCAGATGCCAAATGCGATCGCCCACTGACGCCGCTTTCGCCGACGCTGCTGTCGCCCAGCGGCAGTGCCACGCCACCGCCCTTGGCGGCGTCAGCAGCTGCTGCCAAGGATGAGCCAGGGGCAGGGATTGGAGGTGGGGCGAGTGCGTCGGCTGCTGTCACACCCAAATCACCGCAATCTGCCACCAGCAGCTCGCCCGTGGAGGGTGCACCGACGCCGACGTCCATCAGCAACCACCCAACCGGGCCGAGCGGCTATGGCATGCAGATCAGCTCACCGCCGCCGCTGCTCACCAGCATCAAGATGGGCGATCAGTCGGGCACGCCCACCCCAACGCCCACCGTGTCGTCGGCGGCCTCTTCGCCGCCGGGCATTGGCAGCGCCGCTGAGTTCCAGGCGAAGATCAATGCGGAGATGCAGAAGCAGCTGGTGGCCGCTGATCTGAAGTTCAAGCTGGAGAGCAGCATCCAGGAGGCCAAACAGCGCCGCTTCGAGCAACTGCAGCAGCTCCATCACTCGCCTCACTTTACGGCCATGCGCGAAGTGGAGCTGGCAGCCGCAGCAGCAGCTGCGCAACTGCATCATCATCACCAGCAGCAGCAACAGCAACAACAACAACAGCAGCAGCAACAGCAGCAGCAGGCGACGCCCAGTGGCACGCCCACTTCGGCTGCCCACTTTCAGAGTACGGAGTTCATGAAACTCTACTATGAGGACTACGAGGACTCCAACTCGGACAGCGATGAGGAAATAAGCGTAACGTGATCGCCAGGACCTGCGGCCCCGGGGAAACTATTTTGTAAATATATGTTTAGCATTTTTAATTGTACATTTTGCATAATTATCATTATACCTACTTATAAAGCTAATTAATTAATTGATTAATTATTGTACTTAATGTGTGCATATTTTTTCGAATTTAAATTCCAACACAAAATAAAGGTCTTTGAACAATTCACAAATGATTTTAGTTGAGCGATGTTTTGATTTGGAAGCGAAATAGTAAAAGAGTCGAAGAAAGAGACGGATAGATTGTTAAAGAGAGAGGGGAGACACCGAATTAGTAATAATTAAACTGAGTATACTGAAGCAAGAGCAATTGGTTTGTGTCAATGCTGAGCTGGCGATCAATTAATCGTCAGCAGTAGGTGGGTTGTGTCTTCGCTATGGTGGAAAAACAACAAGATGCAGCAACAGAATATAGAACAATTGGTTTCTGTCATCACTAATGTGTTGACCTTACCGTACTTACAGTGGCATCCGAAATCAATGTACCACTGCCAATGAATACACCATTTAGCAGTTTTATTGTTAACGCAAAGAACTGCGTTATATATTAAACTTTATCTAGAATAAATTCATACATTACATAAGTAAGATATTAAAATTAGTAAAATACTGTCCGTGATTAGCCACAGATGGAAGCTTACAAACTAGAATCACTCATTCGACTAAGTTAAGGCAAACTAGGAAAGCTTTGTACATGGAGGTTACGTTTACACCAGGAATCTTATTTTGCATATGAAAGACATCTATTTCGGGCTGTATTCATCGTCTAGCCGAATGGCCAAATTAATATGACCCTCGCCGCTGGTCGGCTCAATGGGTTTCATAGTGGTGAAGATCACGGGCTCGTCGCACTTGAAGACGTCCTCGCTGATGGCGGGATTGTCAATGCCCTTGGCTGTGAGCCTCAACACGCTGCGTCGCTGCACTGCATCAATGATGACTGATATAAGCCAGCCGAGGAAGACAGTTAGCAGGCAGCCCACCATGCTGAACCACATGTAACTCATGCGAAATATGGGCCAGGAGCTAGACAAAGCAGAGTGTTCATTAGCACCGCATAGTTCATAAGTTATCCAGATTTCTCGCAACTTACGTAAAGCCCTGATCCGCGGGGGGCAGTAAGCTCTCGCTCAGCAAGTCGTCAATGATGCCCGTCACATTCACATGGCAATCGCAATGCTCCACGGATGTAGGCAGCGCTGGTGTCTCCACGTTGGCTATCTGCGCCACGACACCCACGAAGATGACCAGAGCCAGTGAGAGCAGGCCGCCATAGAAGGCGCCCTTGGTATTCGCCTGCTTGCAGGCAATGCCCAAGACGAATAGACCCAGCGTAACGCCGCCAATGAGTCCGTTCAGCGTCAGTGTGGCCTGGAGCACACCGCCCAGGTGCTCCACAATGAAGACCAGACCAAAGGAGCCGACGCCATAGCCCAAGGACATCCACTTGGCATAGGTAGCGCCCTTCTCGGGCGAAATTTTAATGTTCATGCCATTGATCAGCAAATCCTCGCAGGTGACAGCTGACAGAGAGTTCAAAGCGGAGGCAACAGTGCTGCAAGTATAAAATATTGTCAAGTAAATTAACAGTTACTTTTATTTATATAGCAGCTAGACCTACCCCAAGCTGGCCGCAAAGATGCCGGCCACAAAGATGCCCGCAATGGTGTAGACATGATCATAAGTGTTGATCACATAGTAAGGCAACAGCTGATCGGAGGCTGTGATGCGACCCACGCTCAGTGGATCGCAGTCCGCATAGTGGGTGAAGACCATGAGGCCCGTGTAGAAGTTGAGCAGGAAGACGAAAACCAATCCAACGATGGCGAAGCCCAGAGCAATCTTGGCCAGCTTCAAGGACTTGAGCGACATGCACTTCTGCACAGACGCTTGATTGGTGCAGAACAGCGACGTCCAGTAGAAAAAGCCGCCAATGACCACAGACCAGACGGTGTGACGCGTTGTGGGACTGGGATCGAAACTGCAAGACAGATGAACACAGATCAGAGAGAATTCTTAAGTAGTAGGAGGCAGTCGCTTACTTGAAGAACTCCAGGCGACTGCGTTCAGCTGCAGTTTGAAAGACTTGCACAGGATTGCCACTATAAAAGGAGCCCAGGAGAACGATCAGCACTAAGGAGACGGCCAGAACAGCAGCCTAGGGATTGTACAGAATATAAGCAGACGTCAAAGAAAAATCGAAGGCAGGCACTCACCTGAAAGGAATCTGCTATGACGCACGCCTTGATGCCGCCCATCGAGGAGTAAAAGACGCAGACCACATAGATAAGAATAACTGCGATTTTGGTGTCCAAGCCAGTTGCCTTCGACAGAGCGATGGCCGGAGCTAGGACGGCCACGGCCGTGTAGAAGCACATCTGCAGAGCAAGGAACAGGGAATGGAGGTAAAGCCACATCCTGGGTAAATATATTCCGAGTCTCTTACCTGTATAACGTAGAGCACTGCGCCCAGGATGCGTATCTCCTTGCCAAAGCGTATGCCCAGATACTCATAGCAGCTGGTCAGCTCCATTTTGAAGTAAATCGGATAGAAGACCTTGATAGCCACGGGTATAACCAGCAGCATGGGTATCACAATCAGCACAAATTGTGTGCCCTGGAAGTACATCTCGGAGGGATTGCCCAGCAGCTCAATGGCCGTGATGAAGCTCGTGGTTAGGCTGAGCGTCACGGGCAGCAAGCTCATGCCGGAGCCGAGCAGGAAGTCATCCGAGGAGCTGCCGCCCGTCTCGAAGAAGCCATAGAAGATGCCAATGCCCAGCGAGACGACCAACATGGACAGCAGTATGACGTAGTCAATGGCAGAGAAGGTGGCCTTGTGCGTGGGCTTGCTGCATTCCTCCAAGTCGAGGCCAGCCTCCAGCTGCTGTGTCTTGAAAGCCGTCAACAGCAGCGTGGCTGCATCATCGAACTGCAAATGCTCCTCGGACGTAGCTGACGACTCGCCGCGCACAATCAAATACTTCTGCTCAGGTGTGACGGCCACCTGCTGCCGCTGCGGATCCTGCTTCAGTGTGTGGGCGTTAATAGAATGCGCCAGGGCGCAGAGTGTCAACAGTTTCAAAATGGTGCCAAACATGTTGCCAAAGTGTGTGCTCAAAGGTGTTTAACTAGATTGGATTTGATGCAGTGCCCTCACAACCACAAACTGCAAAGGAGTTCATAAATAATACATACATAAAGTTTAGTTATAGATGAGTGGAAAGATAGCTCAGATATTGCATATGTATATTATTTTATATAGAGTCTTGATAGGTTCAAGGCCTTACAGTGGCGGCAATTACAAAGTTTCGTTGCTGTAGGCGTCGTTAATCAATTAAGTTTCGGTATTTATATCTGTAAATTTATCTGCGATATATATGTATGTATATGTGTGTGTAGAACTCATGTAGCCAATGAGACGCAGTTCAAGTCTGAATTTGTCATTTCCTTACACAAACAATTTGATTAAGCCGCCTCTGTCAAGTGCTCACTGTATTAATATTCTTTTTATGAGCCCTGTGTAAAACATGCTTCGAGGACATGGAAATCAGTTGAAGACTTGAATGTTTAAATTTTGTTTACAGTATTTTGTGAATGTAGAAATTGATTTGATATTGACGTAATTAGTATTGATTTTTAATCAATAAATTATATTAAATAAAATTTATTTATTCTTGAACATTTTCTTTGTAAGTACATTTCTTTAAAAATAGTACAGAACACTTTCAATTGAACTTAATATTATTTAAATTCGTTTATATGTCGCACATATTTATTATTCACAATTATTTAAATTAAATATAAAAATTACAGCTTCATAATATTAATCAAAATTAAATTAGTAATTTAGTAATATGAAGCAATTTTATACATCTTTTATTTCATGACATGCAGTTATATATATTTAATCATAAATTGAATTGGTTCTAATAATTGGCTCATAAAAATACAAATAAATATTAATATTCAATATATGAAAGGCAACTCCTGGCCCATTGGCACAAGTGAGAAATATGCACGCGAATCAACGAGCTTTAAGCAAACTAAACTGGTTTATATCGGAAATATCGGCTCGTGCCAGTTTTGGCTAGAAACTGAGACTGGGCCCAAGAAACAGGCGCAAGCAAGTGACACTTTCCCAGACGAAGTCCAAAGAGACAAAGAATTGGGGTAGATCGGGCAGGCAGCCGAGATGGAAACATATTCTTTAAACGGAGCAGCAGTTCTCTCTCTCTCTCTTTCTCGCTCTCTCTCTATCTCTCTCTCTCTGTCTCTCTCACTCTAACTAACGCTCTCTCAATATGTATTTATCGGTCCTTCATCACGTTTCTCATTTTCTTTAGCCTCTCTCCTTGTCCCACTCCCTCTCCTCCTGCTTCCCTCTCTCACCCACTCTCCCACACTCACTCTCTCTCTCTCTCTCTCTCTCTCTCTCTCTCTCTCTCTCTCACACACACACACACACCGTGTTAATCAAACTCTTTCATCTCTTCAGCATCGCCGCCTTCCGTTTGCGATCTGTGTGAAATGAAGCTCAATTAATATGCGCGTATCTTGGGACAGAATTTCGCTCTGCGCCTATCACGATGTGTGTCCATTATTAAGAACAATCATAACAGATATACATATATGATTTCATAATAAAAGTACTGAAGAGAAAAGCTGCAAGCTGCACACGAGCTGTACGCAATTCCATTTGACACATTTCAAATTTGTTGTTGCTTTTATGTGCACAAAAAAAAACTTATAAACAGTTTATAATTTACGAGTATTGCGAAAACAAACTCTGTAGATATCGTCTGACAGAATGAGTTACTCTCCAAACACATATGTCCAATTACAAAAAAAAAAAACCTGTAAGTGTAAATATTTGCATTAACATATTTCATTTTTTAATTTATTAAGAGTTTACACTAATTAGAGTTTCTGCTAATTATAAATTGTGAAAAATAAATTACTCGAAGAAAATATATATTTTTTTGCATTATATATATTATATATTGCGCTCCAATTGAGAAGGGTATATTGATGTGAGAAGTGCTCGTCCGTCGTATGCATGCAAATTATTTAAACGATTCACTAGAAAGTTTAAAAAATAAATACCTCTTCTTGGATAGTTAAGAAAGCTATGATTTATTGGTAACGCCCATTGGAATAGCAAATCAGCAATTACCATATTTTTCACAATTTACGACGTTAACAAAAGTTCAGATTTAAATAAAAAAAGGAGAGTATTTGAAGATATAGACATATTTGTGTGTATATATTGTAGTTAAATATATCATGATTATGCATAGACACCTCTCTCACAGAATTGAGCTAGTTTCAAAAAATATATCTATTAGGCATTTAGAGAGTTTAAAACTGAAAAAACTCTATAAATCATATTTAAGCTGCTGAGATAATCAAGTTGTTAGACCCGAACCCAAATATCTATTTATTGATTTAGATTTAACAATTTTATTTACTTTGAGCAAGTATTACATATATAATTTTATATTAACATTTTGTAATACAATTATATAATTTTGTATTACTATCAGAAATGTTTTATCCAGTCTGTTTGTCTCTTTGCTCTATTGTTTTATTAATTAGCTTTGCATGTGCAGCTGAATTAAGCTTTGATACAAATTAATTAATTTGTTTACTAAATTCAAAATAATAAATATAGAAATTCAATTATTATTTTTTACTCACAACTATGAAAAATTCTGTAATCCTTTGGCTTGAAATCCTTTCAAAAACGGCGCCGTTGTTTTTTATGCACACAACTATGTTAAAAATGTTCTGAATTGTATTTGCAAAATGAAGCCGCGATTGTTTTTATATTTCATTAATATTATATTCACGGCTTTACAACTTTCTTTCAAGTACAAAAAAAGCACTGAGCACTAGAATTTGAAAGCCACAAAGTATTTGTTTATTGTTTTTTCTTTTCGTATTAATTGAACGTAATCCTTGTTGCCTTGTTGAGTACACAAAGTGTGATTTTTGTTTGTCGTAGTTCTCGTATTTCTCGTAGCTCGGCGAATCGAATGTTTTCAATGAATGACTTTGTCAACGGATCGTTAGGGGCTTTTATATGGCCAGCAGCCGATCGATGCGACGCCAATTCGCTCAGTGCCTCAGAGTCTTTGACAAGAGGCAAGGGAGAGAGAGAGAGAGAGTATTGCAAAAGCCCCAAAAAGAGAGCAGTAGAGAGACTGGCCAACAAATGGCGAACCGATCAGAAAAAGAGGGAGAGAAAGAGATGGTGAGTGAGAGAGAGAAAGTGTGTAGAGAGCAGCGCACTCGACGTAGACCTGGATGAAGCCTTAATTGATATCTTGAAGCAATTCATAATAAATAAATGCATTTTGTAATTTTTATATTTTCCATTTATAAACTTTGGATTGTGCCATGCACCAAAATGATTGTTTATTAACAAATGCAATTTAAGAACTTTTTTAATAGTGTATATAGATTATTTTCTAGTGCTGGTAACAATTTAAAATATGATATTGGGAGAAGATATTCAATATTTCCTATATACCCATTGAAATTGCGTGAACAGAGAAGATGGCTATTGTTAAAGCGTTTGTAACAGTATATATATTATTGACCAGAGGCAAAAGTCAAATCAATCTAGTTCCGTCTGTCCACCTGTCACTTTGTTCATTTATCTGTCTATTCGTCGTCTCGAAACCTATTAAGATAAAGACATGATTTCATTTAATTTTTTTTCTGAAGAACCCACAACTTTTCCATTTCAATCGATTAATGTCGCCATCAAACTCGAGTATCTCCTACGCATCAAGAGTTTGAATCAACATACTCGTTATCTATATCATTTGAAACGTTAAATACCTATCGAATGCCCTACAATGTATATGGATAGGGCGTAGATGCCCCATTCTCCCTGTATCTCAGATAGATAACAGCAACTCAGCACATGATTTCGTTTATTTGTTATTCGTACACACCCGAGCCCGTCTTGTCTACTCTCCCTTGTTTATAATTGCGTGTTGAAAAGACAACTAATATGGACATGCAAAAGGAATATACTGGAGACATCTTCTTTGAAGCGGAATCTTCATCAACAATTGAACACGCACCCAAAGGCTAATCGAAAGCGCTACCTCTTCTTACTACGCCTCCCTATTACAGTGTAAATCAGACAGCGTTCTACGCAAAACACGGCTATGAGCCCTACTACTAATACTCTTTCGTGAGTACAAATAACTGAAAGAGGAAAAAAAAAATTGCAGCAATTAATATTTGACCATTTGTCTACACGATTTTTATCTCAATTGGTGCGAGGGGGATATCTTACGTCTCTTGGTTATGCATAGACAGACATATACATATATTTGGTGTCTCATGCTTGGATAACGATAACGAGTTCGATCTGGTACCGATTTACAACAAGCAAGCGGCAACAAAATGTTTGTGTTCATGTTAATAGAAAATTATTTGTTTACAATTATTTTTATGTGCTTTTCGCTCTTCTTGCAAAATGTTGCTAAAGTGTTTAATATTAATTGAAATGTATTAGAAATTGGAATTGAAACCATTTGTCACATCAAAACGAAATGAAAGAAGGAGAAAACGTCGGCATAGCAATAAATTTTTATTTAAATAAAGTAATTGTCACAAGGGTTTCACTTTTGCACATGTACGCCCCATGTGCAATAACTTTAGCAATAATTAAAAGAGCGACGCATATTGATAAAATTAGGATTAACTCGATGGGATTTATGTGGCAGAGTATATTGTAAAGTGCATTTTTATTGATTGAATCTTCTCCAAAGAAATGAGCACTGCTGAAATATAAGCTTTTTGAATGATATAAAATGTGTACGCTAGCATTGAAGAAATTTTCGTTGGCATTTGGCCTTTGCCTGGCTGTCTGTACGCCCCTGAAAATTGGAAGAAAAACATATAGAAAAGAAAGCGTAAAAGTCAATTGTTAATTGTTCCTATTAATGAGAGTGGGTGTTCAAATTGCAAAAATTGACGGCGTCTTACATAAATAGCATTAATTATTGAATTTGTCTCAATTAGAAGCAGACTTCATCTAAGCTTATATGACTCATTTACAGTGGACATCAGGTAATTAATACTAAGTCACATTCTCTTTTTCTATTCAAACTTAACAGTGCGCGCCATTGTGGCTGCATAACATAA